AAATTTATTGACATTTCCGAGCTGCCAGGTACTCGCGTGACACACGGCGGCTCCCGGCCCCCGCCGCCGATACGGATTGAACTTTAGTCTCCGAGCAATTAAGGTGCCTGAAAACTGCACTTCATTAATGGTTGTTATGCAATAAAACCGATAAAAAACTGCCCTTATTTGCAATATGAAAACGCAATTTGGTTTAATTTATGTTTTTAAAGACTCGCTGGGTTTGGTTCCTGGGCTCTGCCAGGCATCTGTCATCGGGGCTGGGCTGCAGTGGGGAGGGGGGGGGCACTGGGCTGCTCGGTGGTGGGTGAAGACTCGCTGGGTTTGGTTCCTGGGCTCTGCCAGGCATCTGTCATCGGGGCTGGGCTGCAGTGGGGAGGGGGGGGGCACTGGGCTGCTCGGTGGTGGGTGCTGGCCCCGCAGGGAGGGGGGGACACCTGGTGCTCTGGGTGGTTTGTGGGTGCAGACACTTGGGTGCACCCACCTCTGGGCTGTGGGGTGGGTGGGCTCTGCCCCAGCAGCCTGGGAGGGGGGGTTCCCATTCCTCTAGTCCCCAGCAACCCACACTGGGTTGTCCCCCCCCAACTTTGTCCCCTCGCTGTGTCCCCCTTTCCCCAGGGAAGCTGCCTGGGAGGGGAACTTGGGAGGGGAGCTCATGGGGGGGCTCATGTGAGCTCTATGGCACAGCCCCCCCAACCTGGGGCTGCCACCGAGGTGAATTCTTGCAGAAAAATCTCCCTGAGCAAATAAGGGTCGGTGGGGCAGGAGGGGGGGGGAGCTCCTGTGCCCATGTCCCACCGGGCAGAGATGAACCTGGCTCTTTTCCTGGGACAACATCACCTGTGTGGATGGCAAATCTGCCTCTGCGGGGCTCAGCATGGTGTGTGTGTGTGTGTGAGTGCACGTGTGTAACGTGCGTGGCAGCGTGTGTGTCCCTGAGGAGCAGCCCCAGACAAAGCCACGGCCCCCGGCTGCTGCCGGACCTCCTGGGGAGGGGGGGGTTTTGCATTTTCATAACCCAGCACGGGATCCCCAGCCAGCCCTAAGCCACCTTTTCTAATTACACTAATTGCGGCCCCGGCAGCCCTCTGGGGCTGTTTATTCCCCGTGGCTCCAAATCCAGGCGGGAGGAATCTGGGCCATCGGGCAGGACAGGGAAGGGCTCCGAGCCCTGGGGCAGCTCCCACGGCAGGGACGTGCCCACGGAACCACCGGGACCTTGCTTTGCCCTGTGCCAGCTCCCAGGAGCCAGATGTGGGGCTGAGGGTCCCCCGTGCAGCCCCCCAACTGTCCCCATTCCACTCGGCATCTCCTGCTGCTGGTGGCTGCCCGTTCTCCTGGGGGTGCCGGGGGGGTTTGGTGCTTTCCAGGGAGTTTTTGTGCTTCTTCTCAGCAGGTTTGTGGTGGGGAAACGGCCCCGGTGTCACCGGGGAGGGTCTGGCCATGGCCAGGACACGGACAGACGGCTGGACAGAGGCTCTGGCTCATGCTGGAGGCAGGATCTGACCTTGGGCTGTTGGTACCAGCCGAGCAGAGGAAGGTACCTGAGGAGCTGGTACCCGTGGTCCCTCAGGATGGGCACGGATGGTCCCCGGGAGCTGTGGAGCCGGCTGGCTCTCAGCGCTTGCCACGCTCCAGCTCAAGCACAGGGAGCCACCTGAGCGCTTGTTTTCTGGCAGTGCTGAGTTAGGGGCCGTGTAACGCTAATTGGATAAACATGATTTCCCCTCTAACTGGCTGCAGATGTCTCCTCAGTGTGGGAGCAAGGTGCTCTCCCTTCCCCTTCCCCTTCCCCTTCCCCTTCCCCTTCCCCTCCCCCTCCCCTCCTCTCCATCAGGGAGTGGAACCATAGGACAAGGGTGTAATGGTTTTTTAAACTGAAAGATTTAGATGAGATATTAAGGATTAAATTCTTTCTATGAGGGTGGGGAGACCCTGGCCACAGAGAAGCTGTGGCTGCCCCATCCCTGGAGGGGTTCAAGACCATAAAAAATTCAAGACCATCAAGGAGGGGGCTTGGAGCACCCTGGTCTGGTGGGAGGTGTCCCTGCCCAGGGCAGGGGGTGGCACTGGGGGGGCTTTAAGGTCCCTTCCAACCCAACCCATTCTGTGATCCCATCCCTGGGTGCCACATCCCAGCTCACACCGGGGGTGTCCCCAGGGTGGCAACAGCCCCAAGGGGAACCCCCGTCCTCCCCCGGGGTTGGGGGGGGGAGACACGACCCACGGGCTCGGCCCCGGGTGCAGGAGGGCAGAGAAACGCAGCCGGTGCTGCCGCTGCGGCCCCCGGGCACCTGGAGGGAATTAGCCGGGCACGTTCACCTCCCTGCAAACCTTTGTGGAGCGGATTCCTGCGGTTTCCCAGCGGGATTCCTGCAAATTATACGAGCGCCGCGTGTTTTGTTCCCCCGGAGGCGTGTGCCCCCCATGACCTGCCGCCCCCCACAGCCCCCCGATGCCCCCCTTTTATTTTCCCTCCTTGGTTTTACCTTCTCCTGCCCAGGGGATGAAGAGTGAGAGGGTGGGCAGGGCTGGGGGGGGGTGCCTGAGGGTGGGCAAGGACCCCCGGGTGCTGGGTGAGTGGCCACTGTGGCCTGATGGAGGTTGGCCCCCGTGGGTGTGTGGGGCTCGGGGTGCAGCACCCACCGCTGGGACCACCTGGGAGTGGGACCTCGGGGTGCTCAGACCCACCCCTCCCTGCCCCCCCCCCAGGGCAGGGGACCCCAGTGGCCAGGATGGGGACCCGACCCGCTGCCATGTGCACAGCTGGATGGGCACCCAGATGTGCACCCAGGGCTCTGCACACCTGGGAGGGGGAGACTGGGTGCCCTCCGAGAGGCCATTCGGCACACGTGTGTGCACGTGTGTGTGTCCATGTGCGTTCACTTGCGTGCACACATGTGCATGAGTCTGCATTTATGTGTGTGCGTGTGTGTGTGCACGTGTGTGCATGCACATGCCTTTATATGTGTGCATCTGCGTGCCCCTGCATGTATGTGTGTGCATGTGTGTGCATGTGTGCATGCATGTGCATGTGCATGCCTTTACGTGTGTGCACATGTGTGCATGCGCATGCCTTTATATGTGTGCATGTGCATGCCCCTGCATGTATGTGCCCATGTGCATGCAGATACATATGTATGTAGGCATGTCTGCATGCACGTGCATGTATGTGCATGCACGTGCATGCCTTTATGTGTGCATGTGCGTGCCCCTGCATGTTTGTGCACGTGTGCATGCACATACACATGCATGTAGGCGTGTTGTCTGCATGCATATGTGTGTGCATGTCCATAGATATGTATATAGGCGTGTCTGCATGCATGTGCATGTATGTGCATGCATGTGCATGTCTTTACATGCATGCACATGCATGCCCCTGCATGTATGTGCACCTGTGCATGCCTGTGGGCATTTCTACACGCGTGTCCACGCCTACACGCCCCTGCGTGTCCCCATCTTTCGGGGATTGTCCCCAAACGGGGGGACACCCCTCTTTTCCCCCAGCCCCAGCCCTCCCAGGAGCAGCGAGCACCGGTCCTCCAAGCCGGCAAGAGCGGCCCCTCGCCGGGCGCCGCCGCTCTGCCCCTCTCCTCTCACTGCTCCTCTCCCCTACTTCCCGGAAGCGCCAGCGGAGCAGCGGAACCCGGAAGTGCCGCTGTGGCCGGTGCCGGCGGCGACTGGAGGCCGGGTCCCGCCATGGCGGCTACGGGCGGCTGAGGAATTTCACCGGGGGGAAGGAGGAAAAGAGGGGGAACGGGTGGTGGAGAGCGGGATAACCCCGCCGCGGGCCATGGCGGCGGCGGCGGCAGCGGCGGGCTCCAACTGGGGCCTGATCATGAACGTGGTGAACAGCATCGTGGGGGTGAGCGTCCTCACCGTCCCCTTCTGCTTCAGACAGGTGAGCGTTTCTCCGCCGTCCCGGGACCCCCTGCCGCCGCCGGATCCCCAATCGGCACCGGTTGGGGATCCGGCGGCGGCAGGGGGTCCCGGGAGGGAGGGACTCTGGATCAGGGAGGGGAGCCCTAGGATGGTTTTAAACTGAAAGAGGGAAGATGGAGCTGAGATGTGGGGAAGGAATTCTTTGCTGGGAGGGTGGGGAGAGCCTGGAACAGGTTGCCCAGAGAAGCTGTGGCTGCTCCATCCCTGGAGGGGTTCAAGGGCAGGTTGGAGGGGGCTTGGAGCAACCTGGGCTGGTGGGAGGTGTTCCACCAGGTTTGGACTAGATGATCTTTAAAGTCCCTTCCAACCCAAACCATTCTATGTTTCTCTCACTTGTGCCTATTTAAAGTCACCTGCTTAAAAAGTGTCGTGTTTAAAGGCTGCCAACACATTGCCAGCGAGTCAGGACAGGGCCGGTAGCGAGTTTGGTAATTAGTTTACACCGTCAGGTAGTTCTCATTAAATAAGTTGACAGCAGAGTTTGCACCTTGGGGTTAGAAGCAGCCTCTCTTTGCTCGCTGTGAACCCCCTGAGAGCTGTGGAGAGTGCTGGGGGGGGGGTGAGTGAAGGGGAACCGTGGAAGTTCTGCTCCACAAACAGCTCCCCAGTTCATTCTTTAATGATTAAACTGGTGCAGCTGGAAGCTGTGGGAAACAGGTGGCTGCTCCACGATGTCCTTGGGCTGCGGAGGAGTAAAACAGAGCTCGTACGTCAGGTTTCTCCCGGCTGCCCTGAAGTCAAGGGAACTCCCTTAACAGGCTAAAGCGGGGCTGGGAATGTGCGAGGGAGCTGGAGGGTGATAAGGGTGGGAGGAAGGCTCTGCAGAACGACTGACTCTCTATCTCTGGATTGCTTCTTCCCCCCCCCCTCCCCCCTTTTCTCCCCTTGCAGTGCGGCATTGTCCTGGGAGCTCTGCTGCTCATTTTCTGTTCTTGGATGACTCATCAATCCTGCATGTTCCTGGTGAAATCGGCCAATCTCAGCAAGCGCAGGACCTACCCTGGCCTCGGTGAGAATTCTCAGCTCAAGGGCTTGGTTGTGGGTTTGGTTTTTTTTAATTTTTTTTTTTTAACTGCGGTTTTACTTTGACTTCTTAATTTACAACCTTCATACTGATATTGTTGGAATAGCGAACGGCTTTCTCCGTGTAGTTTTCAACTGGCGTTGTTTTCCTCTGTCAGCCTCTTCCCCCCCTCCCCACGTCCCCAGGGGAACGTGAGGGTTTAATTCTGCTCTTGACAGTGAAGTTAATAGGCGCAGAATTGTTTTGACTCTGCGGGGCAGGGGAGGAGACGCAGCGCTGACTGATCCAAACCCAAGTTTTCGGGAGCTGGCGTAGCGGCGGGTGTCTGGTGTAAATTATTGGTCTCGGCATGAAAAGCCACGAGCTTCCCCACCCAGTGTGCTGCTGGGGACATCGGGTTCTGCCAGCGGAGAGCCTGGCATGGAGCTGGGGCTGCCGGGATCCGAGCTGCCTGTGCCCTTTATGGCAGAGCAGAGAGGAAACAGCCCGCGTAGGTTCCAAGCGGCCAAGAAAATAAAAACATCTGCAAGATTCATGTGTGGGGTTTTTTTGGCTAGAGCCTGCCAGCCCTCTTCCTCAGAGCTCGCTGCCTCTGCGCTGGCGCCAGGCTTGGCCTCTGCTTGTGACCTCTCTGCCCGTTCTGACTGACTTTGGGGGGGGGGGGGGGGGGGGGGCATGACAGGAAGTCTTCTTTTACTCCGTTTCCCTTATTTCTCTGGGGGAGGAGAGAGTTGGCTGGCACTGCCCTTGGTAAAAGAGCTAAAGAAACGTGTTGTTGACAGATGGGTTTCCTCCATCCTCAGAGTGCCCGAGGTGCTGCCACCGGCCTGCGAGCCTTGGCTTTTGCTGAGTTATATCTCCTAGAAATGGAAAAGATCAAGAAGTTCTGTGGTCTTGAGGGTTGTGCCTATGATGCCAGAGGGAGGGGGGAGCCCCCAGGTAGTGTCTGACTTGTCCCCGGGGCTTCCAGCCCAGCTGCCTGGGCTGCCTCTCCCCATCCCCTCACAACACCTCTTTGTGTCCCTCTTCCCCGAGGAACAGAGAGTCCCCTCCACCTTGGAGCGTCTCCCGGGAAGAAGGGATCCTCCGCGCTCTCCCAAGCCAAGGGGGCTCGAATACACAGAGGGCCAGTAATGCCTCTAAACTTCCTGGCACGCAAAGGCTGGCGCTGAAAGAAATGCCTCTGCCCCTGGGAGAGGTGCCACCGGGAGGGACAGCCCCCAGAGGAAAGGCAGCCCTCCTATAATGCATCCTAATGCATCAAGGTTGAGCAGCTCCACACAGACAGCCTTTTGTCACCGTGGGCTTGTGCCCCGCTACATCTGCGAGAGAGAGCTCCTGGCAGCCCCTGCAGCTGATTCTGTGGGAGGCTTTGGCAGGGCTGAAAGGTGGAAGAAAGTTGGTTTTTTTTTTTTTTTTTTTTTGCAAATTAACTTCAGTCAGCCAGTCCCTTCCGGAGGAACGCTCGTCACAGCTACAAAAGAGCCAGGGTCCTCAGGGGCTGATATCTCGCCCAGACGGCTTTGCTTGGCAGCGCTCTGCGCCTGACGGGCTTGGGGATTAAACCTATTTTGCTCTTCACCGCGTGGAAGGGAAGGGCTTTAGGGAGACGTGGGGACAAGGAGGGAAGCAGGATGTGGTCCCCAGATAAGATTTAACCAGGAGATGAGTTAACACCTCTCCTTAGAGCTGCCTGGGTCTTTGCAGACCCGCTACCTGTGCTGGGCACCCATCCCCTCAGCAGCATTCTGCACCCCCGGCAGAGAAAAGCATTGAAACACAGTTTGTCCCTTCTCGTGACCACACTGGGTTTAAAAGTGCTTCTCTAATTACTGGGCAGATCTAGCCCTGCCCAGCTTGTGAGGCATCCAGAGATCCCATCATTCCGAAGATGCTCGACTGTACAATTTATTTTACAGTCATCGTCTCCTTCCTCCTTGAGAAGATAAAGGATCCAATTTTCCCACTGTCCCCAGATGGGGACATCTGGCAGAACATTTGAAGGCTTGTTCTCATTAGACCATCCCTCCACGACAGCCCAGGAGACGGATCATTTCTCAGTGCCTCCAGCCCGGGCTCTGGCTGGAGCTGTTCCTGGGAGGCACCCACCTTTCTGCAGGATGCAAAAAAGGAGCTCCCAGGGGGAGGGTGGCAATTCCAGGAGGGATGTTCCCCTCTCACCGAACCCTCCCCCCAAAAGTGCTGTTGCCTTTCCCCGTTATTGTGGCAGCTCCCAAAGGAGCTGGAGGCCGAGGCGGAGCGGTGGCAGTTCTCTCCTGGGCATGGTGCCTGGTGGCTGCTGTCCCACCCCCCTGTCACCGAGCCATCGGCTATTTTCGGTGCGACCCCACAGAACAGCTCTGGTTTATTTTTCTGCTGTGGGTCTCCTGCCATGCCTTTTTTTTTTTTTTTTTTTTCTTCTTCTCATTCTGCGGGAGAACATCTTGTTTCCTTAATTTTAAGCTTAAGCGGAGTCCAAAGAAATCAGAGTTTGTAAGTTAATATTTAAAATAGCAGAAGATGCTTCCAGAAGCGAATGAAGTTTGTTTTCTGGCGGTCTCCAGGAATGTGTGCTGTACCTTGAGGAGAAGACAAAGGGGAGTCCAGGGTGGTGGTTTTCATGTCGGTCTGCCAGTTAAAGGCTGACAGATTTGGGCAATGTGGTCTGCGTTTGGAACTGGAGGTCTCAATTCCCATTCTACCCAGTAAGATCTAAAAATACAAGCGGAGTTTTCTTGGCATTTTCTTTTTAAGAAAACACACAATGATTTAAAGACTACTGATCATTTTCTGCTACAAGCTACAACCCAAGTATGGGAGGGGAAAAAAATAGAAAAAGGTCTTTTGGCAGCAGCCCTTTGGTGTGGGTTGTGAGTTCTGGGTATTCTGGGTCTGGGATTGAACGTTCTGGGCACCATCTCAGATCTCCCATCCAGCAACGTTCACTTATAGTGGGAAGATAAAAATAAAAATGAGAGTTTGACTGAAATTTTGCACTGCAGTAACTTTGCCACACAGCATCTTATACATGCATATTTTCTCTTCCGCGCTGACTTTCTTTTAATGGTTGCCATGTGTGACTGCTACTTCACACTACTCTTTTTTTTTTTTTTTTTTTCAAATAGGGGGGAAAAAAAAATAAGAAAAGAACCTGCTTTCTATCTTTCCCTCATCTTTGTTCCTGTCTTATGTGGTTTTCAGTTTGCAGAGGGCATGTCTGAAAGAGAAAGTGGGAGGGTGAGCAAGGGAAACAGCCCCAAAACGTGACACTGGTGGGTTCCTGCTGCACTGCCCTTTGTCACTCTAATTGTTTAATGTCAAACTGATGCGTGTGCCACGGTCTGGACCTTTCTTTGACTAACTCCAACTTTTTTTTTTATTTTTTTCTTTCACGCCAGCATTTCATGCCTATGGAAAAGCAGGAAAAATGTTGGTGGAAACAAGGTAATCTGCTACTTATTTAAATCTTGACACGTTTGGTTTTCTTTAACGAAAAATACTGCTCTGTAGCCTCTTATGGCCTTGCTGCGCTCTCCTTTCTTACCCTCCTGCCTTCTCTGGTCCCAGACTCTTCCTTGCCACCTAGAATTTGAACAGGAGCCTGGGTGAGATCCCCTACTCACGACTCACAGGTTTGGCAGGTCCCTCCCCTCCCTGAGCAGGGACGGGAGTGCTTTCCAGGCAGCGGGAGCGCAGGAGTCGGGGAGTGAACTCATCTCCCATGCTATGAAATCATGGGCATGTCGCTCGTGGCTGTTTTCCAGGGGTGAAATCCCTGCCAAGATTGCCCTGGGTTAGCGGGGAGGGAGAGCGTTCCCTACCTCGGATCCACCCTTTCGCTGCTCCGGTCCTGCCCCTTCCTCGCAGCGAGCGCCGCTTTCCTCTGCTGGATGTTAGGTGATGTCTCCATTCCAGGGACAGCCCCTCGTTCCCCAGATGACCCCCATGCAGGTAGAAGGTCCCCAGAAGGTCCCCACAGGTCCCGTTCAGCACTCGTGGTAACAGGGACATGGTTACCATGCGGCTTTTTCCAGCAGAGATTCCTTGGTGGAGGCGTCTTGAGCCCAGGCCAGTCAGTGGGACTGGCTCCTTCCCTCTTCCCAGCTGCAAACTGCTGCAGAACACTAAAAATACACAGAATATTTCTCAGATGTTACTTGTCCATGCAAGCAATTGCTGTAATTGCCACGGGGATGTTGGATAATTAGAACTGGGAGGGAAAGTGGTCCGTGCAATCATGAATGGGAGGAGAAGCAGTTCATAAGACAATCTTTTCATTAAAATGTGGTCCGTTTTTGTGGAAAGAAGTTTGAGAGGCGATTTGGTATCGAGACTTTTCATGGTAGGCCCCTGGTGTGGGGTGTGGGGCTGAGAGAACCTCTTGCTGATTCTTTTAAACATTTTCCCATGAAATAAAGGGAGTTTTTGCCATCTCCAAGGGCTGTTATTTCGGTGGTTCCAAACAGCAGTTAAAGCCATGCAGGGCTTGTTACCAGAACAGCCTCTCTAGCCAAGATGTCAGGTGTGGATACGAGCTGGATGGAGGTTCTCTGGGGTTTATTTTTCTGGGATTGAATGTGGAACTGGTGGCCTGCCCTTCACGAGCTTGAGGATGAAAGTGTGGTCCTTCCCTGTGGCACCGGTAGCGACGCTCAGCCTGTTCCTGCGGCAGCGAGAGCAGGCTCCTGGCTCACTGCATCCCTGTAGACACAAAACCTACTTTATTACTCGTTGCCAAAACGTGTTTTCCAGTGTGGGTTCTGCAAAATCTGGGTCTTGTCTCCACCATGAAAGGCCAGAAATTGGTGTGTGTGTGGGTGTGGGTGTATGTATGCTGAAGGGTGGCATGAGGGGCTGCTCCACTAGATTTTAAGTTGGTTTCAATGCAGCCTTTTAGCTCTTTAACTCTTCTGGATGTTTCTTGGCAAACAAGGGGAGCAGTAGGATCCTAAGCAACCTTCAGCTGGCGTGGTTGTGTCCAGGGTGTAGAGACCTTGTTGGTGCTCAGCCTTTGTCATAATCCTTCGCAGGGCTGCAGTGTGTGCAGGATGTCCCTTGCTCCCAGTGTATGAACTGTAGCCATGTTCTCACTGCCCTTCTGTCATCGCTGGGGGTCCTGGCAGTGTCTCTGGGTGTCCCCGAGGTAGCCTTAACATGAATAAAGCCTCCTCCCCTCCCAAGGGCTTTGCAGAGCACAAATCTGCTGGGAATGCAGCTGCTGACACACACTTGCCCTGGCGCAGGAGCTGTGTGCCCGGGGTTCCTGCTCCAGCCTCCCGACCTGTCTGCGTTTTGTTGTTTTATTTTTATTTTTTTTTGCAGCATGATTGGGCTGATGCTGGGAACTTGCATCGCTTTCTACGTCGTCATTGGTGATTTGGGGTCCAACTTCTTCGCCCGGCTGCTTGGGTTTCAGGTAAATAAATCCTCCCTGTGTCGCACCCGCATGATGCAGACGGTACTCCTGGTTCTTCTGGCATGGCATTCTGTGTGCCTCAGACACAGCAGTGGGCATCCTGCCCCCAAAGCATTGGAGGGGTCATCTCCTGGTGAGCTTTTCACATCCTGCCTTGCACACAGAGCCTTTAGCTCTGTGAAGTCCTGGAAGCCCAGACATATGGCGAACAATCAGATGTGTAAATCCCCCAATAAGGCACTTTCAGCAAAGGAATCCTTTTTAACTTGGCCTCTCTTAATTCTGGAGCAGATTCCTGGAGGAGATGATGCTTCCTGTCTTAATTCCTGCCCCTAACGAGTAGTGACAGACAGTTCCTCTGGCTGAGCTCTCACCCCTTTGCAGCCCTCTAGTTCAAGAGGGATTTTTTTTGTCCTGTCCTGCGGCCAAATTTTCTGTGCTCCTGCCTCGTCTTTAATCCAGAAGAAGCTGTGTGAGATGAGCCTGGGGGTGGTGGCCAGAGGTGCTCCTGGTGGGCTCCTGGAGGCTCTTGCTGCTCTTCCTGGAGAGCCGTGAGCTGGTGTGCAAGCAGCAGCACTTGGGGATGGCACGAGGACCGTGCAGGGAAGCAAAATAGACCCGTGGAAGGGTTTTTGGCGGGGCTGTTATCTGCTCTGCCTGATGCCACTAAGCTCTGATTAAGGGCCTGTGAAGTTAAAACGATGAGTTGTGGCTGCAGCCAAATTAGGTATTAAATATTTCCAAGCGTTTCCGAGTTGTTCTGCTATAATAAATACCAATGCGAGGTTTTTGATTAGTTTTCTGCATCAGAATTTTCAAGACTTCAATCTCTTCTTTCCCGAGTAAGTTTAGGTTTTATTTAATTGCGGGGAAAAATACTTAAATAACTTGTGCTGGAATAGCATTTAAACACCACCCCCCCCCCAAATTCTTCCACTTCGGGATGGACCTGTCACGCACTGTGTAGAGCAACAGTGGCACCCAGTGACTGTACGAGCTAATCACAGACCCAGCCGCAGAAATGGCAAGCTTTCAGCACCAAATCTTTAAATACCTCCAGGAGCACAACTTCACATTAGAAATCCATCTTGGCTTGGCATCGTTTCTTGCTCTGGGGGGAAAAAAATCATAGAATCATAGAATCATTCAGGTTGGAAGAGACCCTTGGGATCATCGAGTCCAACCATCTCCCCTACTCTACAAAGTCCTCCCCTACACCATGTCCCTCAGTACCGCATCTAAATGAACAGCATCAGGGAGTTACTTTGCCAATTTGTTGGGATGTTTTGAGTATCCTCCGTGCTCCAGTTCTTTATGCAGGTCTCTTCTCCAGGTGTCGGGCAGTTTCCGGATAGTCCTGCTCTTTGCTGTCTCCCTGTGCATCGTGCTTCCACTGAGCCTCCAGCGCAACATGATGGCCTCCATCCAGTCCTTCAGTGCCATGGCTCTCATCTTCTACACCGTCTTCATGTTCGTGGTGAGTACTGAGGCCAGGAACGTTCTTTTCCTATTGTTTTAATGCAGTTTTTCCTGCTGGGACAACCTGCAGGTGCAGGCCTCCAGTTTAAAATGTCCTTCCTGGTAATTAGCGCTGCCGATGCCGGGCATAATGAGCGATCCGGGTGCTTGAGCTGGCTGAGGTGGGGGAGGTACAGACTGTAGAAACTGGCCAGTGGGTCTGTAAGCAATTAAAAATGGTAGGGGCTGTGGTGGCACAAATAATAATAAACCACAAATGGAGTTGTGGTTTATTCTGCTTGGTGGTGCCTTATAATTTTGGGCTCTGAACTTGAAATCAAAGGATGGAAGATGTGGTGAAGAGCGCCTGGAAGCAGGAGGACTTTGATCGTGCCTTAGTGTTTTGCCTTGAAAACCTCAATGCTTCTAATCTGTAGGGTTCTGTTAAGAACTCAAGCATGTTCTTTGCATGTTTTTTTGCAGCTGATGGTTAATGTCTTTCAGGCTGCAACTATTTTTATTTGTTAGACACCAGCACTTCTATTTTTGAGCATCATAAAGTCTTCAGTCTGGTATGTGGCGTGTGCTTGTTCTTAGATATTTCTAGTAAAAGGGTTTTTTTACTGAGGTGAACAGATTCTTGACCATTAGATTAAGCTGAGAGTTACCTGAAGTTGTCCCAGTTTGCCTTGGCCAAGCCCCATCGTAGAGCACCATTTACTGGGAGGTGGAGGCTTTCGCTTGCTTTTGAACGACTTCAGGTTTCACCTCCCGGGTGCTTGTGTGGTTTGGTTGTGGAGCCCCAGCCCTGTCTCTCCCAAATCTCAGGGCTGGAAGAGCTGAAACAAGAAGAAGAAAAGGGAGGTGTGGAAATTCTTTCCACTTAACTTTTTTTTTTTTTTTTTAGTAGGTTGTGCTGGGTCACGCTTCTGAGTTTGCCTCTGTGAGGAGGCTGGAAACTGTAAATGAGTGTTTTATGAAACTGCCGTGTTGCAGGAGCTGTGCCTTTAAGAAAACCACAACATTTCATGAGAGTTGGCTGCACTAAAACGTAATCTCTGGGGATTAGAAAACCCCCATTCAGGCGATATTATAAACAGGCATTCAGACATATTTACCTTCTGTTTCCTGTGCAAACCAACGCCTGCCAGTTTCCCTGTCAATGGCAAAAGAGCTCCCCTGGCCGCGTCTGGGTGCCTCGCTCCCCCTCTTTTCCTGAAGTTTATCCTTGTCTTTGGTGAACTGGTGCTGTTAAATGGCTCTGGAGTAGTGGTGTGCAGGTGGGGGTCCTGCTTTAGGAGCCTTTGTCTCTCTCTCTGTTGAACAGGATTCTCCCAAGGCAAATGTCGCTTCCCGTTTGGATTTGAAAACGCGTTTAAAAGAGTGCAAAATAAATTGCTGGGAACAATAATTCTGGCAGTTAAATGTGTCAGTGGAAATTGTTCCACCCTGGTGCATGCTATGATGTCTGATGGCATCAAACAAGGAGGGGGGTGCCATAGATCTTTTAAAATATACCCCGGGATCCTTGGTGGCAAGGGGCCCTTGGAGGTTGCTGGGAGCTTTAATAAAGTGTGTGGGTGGGGTGGGGAGGTGGGGAATTTGTCTTACAGAGCCCGGGCTGTGGTAGGCAGTGTGAGCTGTTCCTCCCAGAGCTGCCACACGCTGCCTTTTATCCCAGCACCGGCGTTAACTGCCGCCGTGAAGTTGGTTTGGGTCGGATCTTAACCCCCTTTTCTTTCTCTTGGCTCCAGATCGTGCTGTCGTCCTTCAAGCACGGCCTCTTCAGCGGGCAGTGGCTGCAGCGAGTTAGTTACACTCGTTGGGAGGGCATTTTTCGCTGCATCCCCATCTTTGGCATGTCTTTTGCCTGTCAGTCGTAAGTACCTGCCATTCCCGCTTCTGGCAGTCGCGGTCCGCAATGAGTTTTTGCGAGGGCAGAGGGTCATGAGGATCTGCAAGGGATAGATACCATCTGGTTTCCTATTCTATTTTAATCAAAATATTTTACAGCCCACTGAAGTACAGCATCTCATTCAGTTGTGACCCTTTTGTTACCTAGATGGGGGGGGGAGGGAGTTATATTTCACTGGGGAGTTATTGTACTTGAGCAACACGAGATCGTTTGGGCCAAACAGATCCTTGGTGTAACGCATGTTGCTTCTGGTACAGCTGCAGAAGTGATGAATTTCCCCTCTTTCTTGAAGGGAATGATTTAGTACCAGGAAAGGCAGTGGGGGCCATCGCCTGATGGCCACAGGGCCACCCCGCAGGGTAGCGCACGCTCTCAGCTGCTCTCTCCTTCCCCGAATTTCTTTGAGAATACTCAGAAGATGGCACAGTCGTTGACTTTGGAGGGTTGTTTCCACTCACCTGCTTTTAATGAGGGTTTCCGTTGGCACGTGGACGGAGGTGATGGCAGAGCAGGGCTATTTTCATGTTTCTAGCAGCATTACCTTCTGCACCGAAATGACAAGTGAGCAATACGTGCCTGGCCAGAATAGAAACAGACTTTAAATAGAAGCGTAAATCCAAATGTGGACACGGAAAAGACCATCCTCATTTGGAAGGCTGGCAGAGTTGGGCTTTCCCCCCCCTGTAGCTCTAGCAAATGGGTAGCATGCCAACAGTAAATGAATGTGACAGATAAAATTTGTTCAGACTGCTGTGTTTACACCCACACGCAAGATCCAAATCATCATTTTCCACTTACTGGCTCTCTTGGCAGCTCGGTTCCTACCCGAACACGCTCCAGTCTTGCTGTTTAATGTCTCCATTACAACTGGCGAAGGGAATTGTATTCTTTTACGGCTTTACCTAGTTAACAATTTAGAGTTTTCTTAATTCCTTTATATTTTTTTTCTCCTGGTAGCCACACAGTACCCAGCACAATTTTGCTGGGAGCTGGAAAGGCAGGGCAATCGTTTGGTCTGGACCAGCGTGCACGTACCTAAATATAGGCTCCGTTACAGCACTTACGTGGCAAACTGAGCCTAAAGCTCTGTATTTTTTCCAAGCATCAGGGCAATACGCTGTCCCTAGCCCTGACAATCTTTATAAGCTTGTTATTCTCAGCTAGGTATGTTTAATTTTGCTAACCAATGAATCACCTTTTTGAAAAATAATTCTAGCATTGAGCGGAAATCCTTTTCCTTCAGCACGTAAGTGCAGCATCCAGTAAGGACAAATAAATGCAGTTTTATTCTAGCTTAAAGAACTTGACCCTGCTTTACTTGTGGGTTCAATCCCCTTCGCTCTTTAAAAGCTCTCCTGTTGTTGATGAGGTGGCCAAGTAGGTCACTCTCTACAGTAACGTAGCGTGGAAATACGCTGTGGAGCTGAGAGCCGGGAGCGTGAGGACTCCAGGGTCCACCTTGGTCAAGTCACTCAACCTTCTGATGAAAGGGGAGTGACTAGAGCTTTCCAGGAGAAAACTTCTCATTTCTGGGGGTGGCTCTTCTGGTGCAGATGGATGCTCAAATGCTGGAATGGCAGGGATAATCAAATCCAGGGGGGGTGTGCATTGCCTCTGTGAGCACTGGTTCCCAGCAGGCCCTCAGAGGGCCAAGGCAAGGTGGTCCCTCCAGCGATGGTGAGGAACAGGCACGCCGAGGTGGCCCTGGCCATCACTGAAGCAAGGCTTAGAGCTTGTGCTGACTTGCCCCTTCTCTGCTCAGAAGGAGCCATCTACTAGCTCCTTCTTTGAGCATAACAGATAATGTGGGGAAGGGTCCCTGATCCTTTGTTGGTCTTCAAGTGCTTTGCTTAAAAACACACACCCCCCCTGGTGTGTCAGGACGTGCTGCCTGTTGCTTCTTGTCCTCTCACTCTGTCTTGAGAGTTGGTGATGGGCACGAGGTGTGTCGTGGGGGCTCAAGGAACACTGTGCTGGTCCCCCAAACCCAAGTTGACCAAATGGGTGCCGTTAGGTGATGGCAGGAGGCCTGGGTGCAGCTGGACTTCTCATGGCACTTTTCTCCTTGTCACTGCTCCTGCGCTGACATGGACTGGCCTGGCTGTGCCATCCCTTGCACTGCGGAGCTTCTCTGCTTCCCTTCTTATTTCTCCTCCTCCTCCTCCTGAGAGGAGTGTGCTTTAATTATTTATAAGCATTGATAAGATCACCCCTCAGTCTTTTCTTCTCCAAACTAAAAAGACCCAAGTCCCTCAGTCTTTCCTCATCAGAGAGATGTTCTAGTCCCCCCATCATCTTTGTAGCCCTCTGCTGTACCCTCTCCAGCAGTTCCCTGTCCTTCTTGGACTGGGGAACTCCAGGTGCAGCCTCACCAGTGCAGAGCAGAGGGGGAGGATGACCTCCCTTGAGCTACTGGCCCTGCTTGGAGAGATTCCTGGGGACGCTGGGCTGGTAAATGTCCATCATGGTAGTGCCCTGGCAGACCCTGCGTGTGTCTGCTGGGTTCCTGAGAGCTGACGTGCTCGGCTTCCTCTGTGCAGAACTGTTTGACATTAAGGGATTAAGGGTTAAGGATTTTTCTGCTCGGCCTCAGCTTGACACACGTTCCCTTAATGGCTTTGTGCCCACCGGAGCCGGGGATACCCCCTTCCCATCTAACTGGATACTCCCCCCCCCGCCCCACCTTTCTCCTGAGAGTTCCTTTAGTAACACGAAGCCAGGATGTAGCCACTTGAATTAAAGTAACAAGAGGTTAATGAGTTGCTAAAATATGCACCTGATGTCAAAAAGTACATTCCACATGCTTTCCAAGTCTGTAAATACCCCAAATCCCGTGTAATTGGCGCTCCCAGCTTTCTATGAACCAAGCCGGAGCAGCAGCGCTGAAATATGACAGGGGCTGCCTTTGGTTTTGTTTGTTTAACTTTTCTTTTAGACAGTGCGATGCTCTAACCTTCTTCCTGCTTTTTTTTTACTCTGTAAACACTGCGTTGCTTTAATTATCAGCGCGGAGAGGTCCAAGAACAATAATCTGCAATGCGCTGCCTGGCCCCGTGCCACTGGTGTTTCACTGGAACAAACGGTCATTCATTTTGCAACACTTTTGAACCGAAAATGTTTACATCACACGTTTAGCTCCACGTGGTGGGGTGGGGAGAGCAGGAATATTTCTGCAACACTTAAAAGTTATGAGTGTTCTGAAATCTCTTGGCATTAGCAGTATAAATTGTGGAATAGCAGCGAGTGTTTATGCTCCATAGGGGGAAGGTGTCAGGGATTCTTCGCTGCTGGGCTGAGGCAGGGAACGTGCTGGAGTGGGGTTTTTCTCTCTCTCTCTCTGCAGAAGGTTTCCTTCCTTAAATAATTTACCCTTTTCTACAGTCAGGTCTTGCCTACCTATGATAGCTTGGATGAGCCGTCTGTTAAAATCATGAGCTCCATATTTGCTTCCTCCCTAAACGTGGTCACCACCTTTTACATCACGGTAAGAAACTTCCCCTTCTCTTTCCTTGCCAGAAGTCACGCTCTGGAGGGGCGACAGGGACGATGATTTATCTTCAGATGGGGCTGCTTTCTGCTGATCTGTATTTATTCTGAAAGATAAGTCGTTTCGCTGAGAGCAAAATTAGATGGGAGGTGATGAACCCAACAGTGCGGGAAGTGTTTGGAGAGTCCCAAATTTTCAGCCTGGTGTATTTCCTTGCGCAGAGGCAGAGTGGAGACCAAGCTCTTCCCTGCTTCCATCAGCCTGCTCCCTGCCTTCCAGAGCCCAGCCTGGAGCTGGAGGTGCTGCCCAGAGCTTCTTTCAGCCTGTTGCAATTGGAAAGATGTAAAGGAAGTTATGCCTCATAAAGCACCAGCTAATAAAACCCAGTTAATAATTCCTGAGGAGAGCCTGTTGAGCTGGGCTGCTGCAGGGGATCATCACAGCCCCCCTCCTTGGTTGGAGGGCACAGGGTGTCACTGCTCTTTGTCACTGGCAGTGTTCCCTCGCTGCAACGTCCTCCAAGAAACCCCCCTGTATTTGGGGAGAAACTTGCCTCTGCTTTTAGAAAGATCCCGCTGTTCTTTAACCATTTTGGGGTGCTGCTGGCAGGTTGCCCACGGAGGTGGCCCCAGGTTCCCTCCTTGGGCTTGGCCCTCCCTGAGGGGAGGTCACTGGCCTCCATCCTTGTGTAAAGAGCAGAAATGAATGTGCTTGGGGGGGTCACAACGTCATCCGCTCACCTCCCCTCCTGCCGGACAGGTGGGCTTCTTTGGCTACGTGAGTTACACTGAAGCCATTGCCGGCAACGTCCTCATGAACTTCCCTTCCAACCTTGTGACGGAGATGATCCGAGTGGGCTTCATGATGTCGGTAGCTGTGGGCTTTCCGATGATGATTCTGCCATGCAGACAGGCGCTCAACACCCTTCTCTTTGAGCAGCAGGTAAGATCCTCTTGCATGGCCAGAGGGCACCTTTTGAAACCTGCTTTTTGAAGAGCTAACCGTGCCTCTTTGGCTTCTGCTGCCGGCTGCCGACCTGGGCTACAAACACGCCTGGGTTGTGTGAGACGCCGTTGACAGCTGCCTGTTTCTGACTCGTGGTAGGTACTCCCTGTCCAGAGGGACAAACCCTCGACTCACGGCGAAACCCTAAGTGCCTGGTGTGTGGTGAGAGCGCGGCGGGAGGCCCGTGGCAGCCTGTAAATCCTGCTCGGCAGAATGGTTAATCTCTGGTACTTTGAGGTTCTTGTCCTCTCGGGCAGAGGAATTCCGTGGGCAGAAGAAGTGCTGGGGTTGGGAGCCTGGGGTTGTTGCTCTGCTGCTCCCCTGGGGCTTCCGGCTCTCGCAGAGAAGTGTGACACAGTTCAGAGCCACGGCGGTTCTCCCCCCCCACCCCCGCCTCAGAAAGAGGGAGAAATGTGCTTTTTGGAAACAGAGGAGCCTCCTTATTTCCTGCTGCTCCAGCTGGCATCCTTTTGCTGGCCAACTCGGATCTTGCTTTGCATTTAGCTCAAGCTTCTGTTCCTGGCCTCAGAGCCCAGCCCAGCCTCGTTTCTTCTTGCTTCTGTCTGTGCCTGCTCCTTTCTGCTCTTTTATTATTTTATTCTCATCCTCGCACCTCTGTCAGTAGCCCCCCTGAGCAGCCTTCTCCCCTCTGGGTTTGGATGTCCCCTTCCTCCAGTGCCTCCCTGGACTGGTGGTGCTGGTCTGGGGCAGGAGCACGGGGTGGAACAGAGCCCTCTCCTCTGCCACACGTTCACCTTTCCCAGGGTGAGATCTTCAGACGGCCTTTGTGACTGTAGTTGGTCTGTCTGATTGAGACTGTGAGTCCCTTGTGGCAGTAGCGTGTTCTCCTCTGTGTATTGTACGGCGCTAAGCATGGCCCTGGTATTCAGTAAATAACAGTAAGAGATTGTGGGAATGTTCTGAGGCCTTTGTGTATCTGCATAAATAGAAACCTCTTAGGGCAGGAAATAAAACTTGAGCAATTTATAGCTCGAAATCCTGCCACTTCTGCCTGTGAGAAGCCCCCGGCTCTTTTCTCACGTCGGGAGGGCCTGAGGATGGGGGAAGATGGTTGGTGAAAGGCAGTGGGTGCAGAGGAGTAAGCACTGGAAGTGCTTGGGAGGACTGTGGCTCCTGCTTGGGCTCTGCTCGTTGCTCTTTGGGCTTTGAACCTGTCACTTTGCTGTCCCCTCCCATTTGTGTGGCCGGGAGAGCGGGGACCCACTGGTTTTCCAAGGGCATGTGGGTTTGCTGGGTCCTCTGCTTTCTGCACCTCCTGCTCTGATTGTGGGGATGAGATGGGAAGAGGAAGGCAACTGGAAACCCTCCAGTATCAGCAGCTCCTCAGCAGCACAGGTCGTCCCCTCTGCTGTCCAGCCAGGGTGTCTTCTCTCAAGTCAGAAGAGCTGGAACACATAAATCTGCTCCTGGAGGTGCTAGGGGACACCTCGCTGTAGCAAATCCAGAGCTCTTCCCCCTGAGTCCCTTCTCCCTCCTGCCTTCTCCCTTCACCTCTTTCTCATGCCCTTGGCCTCGGGGCTGCTCGCAGGGGCGCTGGCACAGGGGCTGGGATACAGCTGTGCAGTTCACATCTGGGGCAGGATGGAAGCAGCAGCTCTGGCTCCGTGCCCTCTGTCACTCTTTGTTTTGAAGGTTCAAATGCAGTTGCGTGTTAAAACTGCTCTGCCACATCCAGCTGTCCCCCCCCATTCACCTCTGTGGAGACCATAGCATGGAGGTGACGAAGCTGCTGGGGTAATTGTTTAGGAACTGGGGTTCTGGTGCAGGAACTAAACTCATCCTCCCCCTCCCACCCTTTCTCTTCCAGCAAAAAGACGGCACCTTCGCTGCGGGGGGTTACATGCCCCCGCTTCGCTTCAAAGCCCTGACGCTGGCTGTTGTGTTTGGAACCATGGTAGGAGGCATCATGATCCCCAACGGTGAGCTGGGGGCGAGGGCTGGCTGCTTGGCTGTTTTCTCTCATCTCTTTTATTGGCTTTTCTGGGTGGGATGGCCAGACTCACTGGGCTCGTGCCCCAGCTTGCCCAGGGGCTCAGGTGGCTGCCTCGTGCTGCAGCTCTAGCCGTCCTGGAAGGGGTCTTTGCTGACTTCTTTTCTTCTTCTTTGCCAGTGGAAACAGTCCTGGGCCTGACAGGTGCTACGATGGGAAGCCTCATTTGTTTTATCTGCCCGGCTCTTATTTACAAGAAGATCCACAAGAATGCACTTTGTTCACAGGTCAGTGCTGATGCTGCTTGACATCCCCCTAAGCCCTCTGCAGAGCCTGGGAACGTAGTTAATTTGACTGCAGCAGAGAAAACTGCTCTGGAGGCATCTCCTCCAGCTTTCCCCTCCAGTCTGCCCAGTACAGGTGGGAGCTGTTCTGGTCTGCTGCCCTGAGCAGCATCACTTATGGGCACACAGGCAGCAGCGGAGGAGGCGCTGGCCCAGTGCACGGCCAGCCCTCTGCTGGAACACCAGCTCTTTTTGTCCCTCCAGCAGCAAGTGAAGCATTCATTTGGTGCATAAAACGCTGCTTCCAGTCTGCCTTCTGGTGGGCTTTGGGTTCTGTATCTGCAGAATGTGAAATCCAGGCAGCCTATAAAACCTTAACGGGGTCTTACATCCCAACCTGCCGGGGCTGGGTAAAATAAACACGGTTTCTCAGCGATGCGGTTCTTGCTGCTGACCCTCAGCTTTCTGGTTTCAACCAAAATAATAATAAAAAAGGAACACACACATAGAGGTGTTGCTTCAGGAATTGATTTTTTAAAAAATCAGGGTCGTTCAGAGGCTGTTAGAAGTTTAACTTTTCCTTTTGCTCCAGTTTGAATTGGCCTCCTCGGGGACTGAAACAAAGTGGCTCTTTGCTGGGCTCTGTCTCTCTCCTTCTGCAAATACTGGGCTTTTGTGGGGCTGAAATTAACGTGTTTTGTTTTTTCCTAACAATAACTTAATCCGCTGCCTTTTAGCAGGCCTCTGCCCCAGCCTTACCAGTCACAACAGTGCTGGGCTGGGAATAAGGTTTTCGGCAAACTGCGGAGTCAGCAGGGGGAGAGCACGACATTTTTGTGGGTCCTACAGAACTAATGTCTTTTTCTGTGTTTAATGACTTGTGGGTTTGCAAATGTACATGAAGTTTTTTAAGCAGGGTGTATTTTTTTTTTTCTTTTTCTTTCCCCGTGCTTTCTCTGACACAAGGAAATAGTCCAACTTTCCAGCTTTCACTCTGAATTCTGACACTTTGCTCCTAACGTCTTTGACTGAAACCCCAAGCAGGAGTCTGAATGCCAGCCTGGATTTTTTCAGGGAAACAAAGAGCACTTTCAAGAATTGCTTTCTATTCCGGCCGAGCCAGAACGTTTCTCTGCAGTGCCTTGAAACTGCACTTAGGATGGGCTTGAGCTCTTAAACTGCCTGCCCAGAGGCAACTGTCAGCTGCCCGGGGTTGAACACTGGGGCCCTCACAATCCTTGACCTCAAACGCTGGTCACGAGGCTGGTGAAGAACGTTTGTCCTGCAGAAATCCCCACGAAGGAATAAGGGCTTTATCTAAAGCATCAGCCCCCAGGTTACCCTGGCATTTCAAGGGGCTGGTAGCAAGCTGTCCAGCCTTCTCTTGAATGATCCATCGCCTGTCAAGTTTGCATAGTTTCTTTGAGCGATGCTCTGAAGTGCTGCAGCGAGGGCACACCTGCAGGAACGGGCTGCGGAGCCCCTCCCCGCCTCCGCTCCGGAGCACAATTCGGGGCCCACCTTCTCCTTTTTCCTCCAGGTCTTCTGCAAAGACTCATTTATTCTTTCCCTGAAGCTCTGTCTTTGGTCTCCTCCCTCATTCCTGTTTTTCTTTGATCAGACGCTCCACTCCATCAAAATACGCTCCTGTGAGAAGTGGCAGTCGAGGGGGAGAGGGAGCCAGCCCTGGGCATAGCTGTCCCCTCCCTGCTTTTCCCTCTCTACACAACGTGTGTCTTCTCCCTCCCTCCCTCCACCATCCTTAGCTTTCCTTTAAAGCAGCAGATCTTCTCAACGCCAGCTCTTCCGCTTGCCTGAATTATCCTGACTCTTGTGGTGCTGCTGCTGAGGACTGGCTGCTTTTGTTGGGCCAGCTCTGGCCCAAAGTCCTGTATGGAGCATCTTGTGGGGCTGGTGAGATAGGAAGTTCTGATTTACCCAGTTGGGAAGGTGGTGCATGCTGAGGCTACGAAACTGGGAGGAATTCGGGCTGTCCCAGATGTTTGCTGGCCAGCAAAAGGCATGGGTGGCTTCTGCCAGCCAGTTGCCCAGTTATCATGGCTGCTGGTCACTGGCTGGGGCTGGAGATGGCAGTTTGGGCTCAGGTCAGGGGTGGCTTGGTTGAAAGGTTCGTTGTGTTGGAAGGACAATCAGGAAATGGAGCAGTTAAAAAGCTTGAAACCAGGCTGTGAATGTGCTGGGGAGAGCGTTCCCTTTCTTGCGGTTCAGCCTCAAGCGTCTTCCTGTAAAGGTGCAGGTCCGCGTCCCACTGCCCTCCTGGAGCCTGGAGTGAGGGGATTGGAGAGAGGTTTGGCAAAGAGCTGCTGAAGGTCACGTTAAGGTCTGTAAACAGAGTGTTTTAACTTCTAACAGGAAGGTGTTGGCTTCCCTCTGTTGACACAAGCCTGTCCGAGAGGCCCCTCCTAGGGAGGCCGGAGTTGCTGGTGTCCCAGTTGGGGAAGAGAAGCTGCCGAGAGGCTGCTCCAGGTCAGGAAATGACCCCTCGGTCTCGCTCCTGTGCGGATGGAAAAGAGATTCCCCTCTGCCCTCCCCTGGTAGCAGCTCAGTGGCCAGCACACCTTCACCGCCGGCGCTCGAGGGTCGGTGCGGCCCTTCCAGCTCAGCGGAGGAACCCGGTGGTGACCGGGGCTCTGCATTCCTTAGCCATGACTCTGTCCCTCCAAACGCTCGGTGTCCAAAACAGCCCGGTTTGGAGGATGTCGTCACTCTGCACAAATGCAGTTGGGTTTTATGGTTTTTTTTTTTTTTTCTTTGGCTTCCCGCTGATGGCTGAGGCGTGGTTAGAGGAGATGGTCTGAGCTGATGACTCTTCTGTACAAAGTTCGAGTTATCTTCTGGGAGGAAGGACGGCCGAGGGAAAGCGACCGGCGGAGGAAACGGCCTCGTAAACTTCCTCTGCTGAATTCCCGTCCCTGCTCAGAGCTCTCCTCTCTGGAGACAGGCCCTTGCCTTCCTGACCTGCCTCTTGGAGGGCTTGCACGTCCTCTTGCCATGTCCACGTTGAGAAGTGCTTCTGGAGAAGGGTCCCTGCTCTCGGTGGGTTTGCTTTTAAGAGGTTGGGGGGTAGATCCTTCCTGTGGGACCAGACACAGGCTTGTATCAGTGTCGTCCCTCTTCTTGCTCTGGGTTCTCAGCTCTTCAGCTGGACACTTTGGGGGTATGTGGCTCCTGTGTTTGGTTCCTTGAACCACCAGGTCCTTGCACCCCATGTTCCTCCTTTGATTGCCAGAGTAGCCTTGGTGGTGCCTTGAGTCCAAACTGCCAGGTTTTCCATGTCATAAGTATCTCCATGGAATTAAGCCAAATTGTGGACCTCTTTATCCTGGTCTCCAGTTGGTGACGGGGTAGGTGAGGAGGAGACGTGCCAACGAGGGAGCTGGAGGTGAAGGACGGCTGCTGGTTCATGGACTGTTTGTGAGCACCACGTGTGCCCGTACCCGCTGCTCTGGGAAGCTCACAGATGAACTCTAAACATTAAACAATCAAAGGGGTTCAAATCCAAGGCACTTAAGCCCATGGTTCCCCCACTACGATAAGAAACAACAAGAAATCCTTTAAAAACATTTAATGTTTTCAGCCGTTTCCTACAGTTCCCGGCTCTCCCACGTTGCTGCTTGTTCCTGTGGCACCAGAATAGATCCTCTTTGTGGAAACGCTCTTCCTCTCGGCTGTTGTTTCTGGAAGATGCCAGAACAGCTTTCCAGTTGCAAAGTGCATTTCTATTTCTACCGGGGCTGTAGCTCCTACGAGGGGGAGGAAGCGTTGGAGCTGCGAGCCGAGGGCAGCCGTGGCAGGGACCTGCTGACTCCGCTTTTGACCCGGGCGGGATGGCAGGATATCTGCTCTTTGTGCACCCACACGGCGAGGCAGGGAGCAGATTTTGCTTCTGTTTCCTTTGCAGTGCCTCTAAGGCCTGGCTCCCTGGCCACGCTGCTCATCCCTTGTCCAGGGCAGCTTCACGTCCCGCCAGCCTTTTCCTTCTGAAGGCGTCTGTCTGTCTGCAGGGGGGTGCTGAGAATGGGGTCTCCTGGGCCCCCGGGGCTCTGACTGCCCTGGCTCCCATTTCTGGGTGAGCTTCCTCAGCTCGAGGAAATAAAATCAAGCATCAGCCTCCCCTCCCTCTCCTGGGGATGCCAATATTTTAACTTCTTTCAATATCACTTCTCCCCTTTATTTTCCGTTTTCTCCCTCCGGCATCCCCCCAGTTGTAGCAACCCCTGTAGCCATTCCTGGTTTTTCTCACACTGAGTAGCATCCTTTTGTTGTGCTTTTTGTTAATTGGGATGTAAATGCTGCAGGATAAGGGATCTGGGGGAAGAGATGAGTCCCGCAGGATGAGGTCCTCTCGGGAGCTGTGATCCTCTTGGATCCTCTCGTTTGCAGCATCGTCTCGGATCCTTTGCTGTGGTCTGCAGAACTGTAGAAATAAGCTAGATCTGTGGTGTTTCAGAGAGCAGAATGTACTTTAAAAAGGAAAAAAAAAAATAGGGAATTGCTGCATCATAAATACCAATTTGCTGCAAACTTCCAGCTTCCCAGCGTTGCAAAGGCGTTTTCTTTTTTGCATATGGTGGTTCCTGTTGCTTCCACGGTCTGTTGTGAGGATGAGTTTGTGGGGAGATGGTGTTTCTAGCCAAGGGTGATGCTTTTTTGCCTGCTTCCTCCAGCACAAACTCTTGCAGACGCTCTCCTACCAGTCACTCGGTGCCGTCGACGCAGTGACACACAAGCCAGGTTCTGCGAGAAGCCCTTGCAGTGACAATTGCAATGATTGACTGGGGAAAAATAATATGTTAGAGTTTAATTAAATCTCGGCGTTGTCGGCCGGCGCTCCGTCAGCTCGGCTCTCTGAAGTGGTCCCCCCTCAGCCCCTCTCGCTGCTGTGCATCATCTTGCTTGTCCTTCTCCACTTACCCTGTGAATCGCCAGCACTCCCAGAGAGATATTCTTTGTGCTGTGGAAGACAGAGTTTTTTATCCGTTCTTCCAGCTGATGTGGAATTAGATCCTTTTAGATGAATTTATCATTTGATACTAAACTGTAGAAAAGGTCTTTTTGGTGGTGGTCACTTTCTCCTTTTTGAGTTTAAAGAAGATCGTAGAACCCTTCCCTCTTTAGAGTCCAGATTCTCAATTTTTATTCTATTTGGTCCCAGGTTTCAGGAAATCAGTGAGGATTCTTCTCAGTTTCTTGAGCACTGCCCACCAGGACTTGTCTGTGAACATTTTACTCTTGGTCTCAATAATATGACTTTTTAAACAGCTCCCTAGAAAACTTTCTAGGCTGTAAACAGCTTGGGCACCTCTGTTCTCAGCCAGACCTGATTTCATGGTGTTCTGTAGCATGTAGCATTTCCAGCGTGTAGCTGCTGGAAAAACCAGGGAATGAGTCTTTGCAGCTGGACTCTTGTCTGCCACATGCATTTTTTTCTGTCCCTACGCCCTGTCCACTTGCTTTTGAGCCCTTCTGATACAGGAGTCGCCTTTTCAACAGCCTCCAGCCTCTGAAACTCTCCTTGCTACCTCTCTGTATCCAAATACACACTTCAGCCCCAAGCTACTGTTCTTTTCTTTTTCCCCTCTTAAATTTCTCTCCTCTTCTCTCTCTCTTATTGACACGTGTAATTGCGCTGAGCTTTGAATCGTTTGGAGACACTGTTTGCATGAAGAATGCTGCTCCTGTTTGTTTTGCTGTGCTAACTGAAGCTCTGGCACGTTGTGCAGATCATACTGTGGATTGGCCTGGGAATACTGGTTATTAGTACCTACACCACCCTGTCTGCAACGGAGGACGCCCCTGTGAAGACAGAAGTGGTGGGTTTGGAGCACCTGGACGGTGAGCAGGGCAGGATTGACCAGGATTCAGTCAAAATCCCAGGTATGTGTCTGTCTGAGTTGTGCTTCCCAGCCAAATTTTTTTTTTTTTTTTTTTTTAAAGTTGGTGGAAGCAGGGTGATTTCCAGGCTGCTCCGTGCGTCTCCACAGCATCCTGGAGACTTTTCCTGAGAAAGGCTGCAGTTTTGCCTTCTGGAAAAGCCTGGTGTGAGCTCCGGTGGTACCCTGTGGGAGATGTTCTTTTGGGAAGGGAAGGGAATGGAAAGGTAGGGTGCAGGGGCTGGGGTCCCCTGTAAGGACGGAGCACGGGGCTCCCGGTTTGGGGTAATAAATGCAGCTCTGTGAGCACAGCCCAGTGCTGGCTCCACGCTGGCCACCTGTACGAGGGGTGTGAGTGGCCAAACAGGGCTGCTTTCACCATTTCTGCCAGCGCATTGTCCGCCGTTCCAATAACAAGCCATTCATTGCACTCAAAGGTATGTAAATTTATGGGCACTGACTTTTTTTTTTTTTTTTTTTTTTTTTGGGTCGCGAGGATATAAATTTGGATTGGGTTTTAGCTCTGACAAAGCCTGTGATTATGCCTCAGCTTTGTTTACTGGTTCACATTATTTATTATTTGTTTACTGTGGCCGTTGATAGAATTACGGCCGATCCCTCCCTTCCCCAGCTGCAGACTTGCCTTGCAAGGCCATCGCTAGCAGGTGTCGCCTGACCCTGCGCTGCCCCTCGCCTCTGCCTGTGTCCTGTTTCTTTATTTTATTTTTCTTTGGTTCTGCTCCTGCTTTTTTTTTTTTTTCCCTCTTTTTTTCTTCTTTTTTTTTTTTTGTTCTTCGGGGGGCCTTGAAATAGCCTCGCAGAGATTGAGAACGGAAGCGAGCAAGGGCGGCGGGGAGGGGTGGGGGGGGGGCTGTCTCTTCTGGAGATTATCCTCTCTCCTGCTTCTTGGCTCTGTTCCTGCCGAGCAGCTTTGAGTGTCTCCGAGACACCGGTGCTGCCGCCGATAACATTCACTCCCGGGTTGCTCCGTCCCTGGCAGCGCTGGGGTTTTATGCCTTCGTGCTCGTGGTTCACCCGAAGCGTGTGTGTCTTCTCAGGCACCAGGAAACCCATGAACTCTCAGTGAAAAAAAAGAAAAAGATGCTCTCAATCCCTTAATCGAGCGCGCTCAGCAGGGCTGGGGAGGAGGGATGCGATTGAATTCTTCCGTCTTGGTTAATTTTGGAGCAGTAATGGTCAAAGAACAGCTGCTCGTTGCAGGAGGAGTCGCTAATGACACGTGTTCCTGGGACTGGGAAAATAAAAAAAAAAAAACAACCCAAAAAAAAGTCCCATAAAAAGCTGGTGTCCGCTGGAGTTTGCTAAATCTCTCCTCCCCTTGCTCTCTGCGTGAGCTGGGGGTGGCAGAGCAGGGCGCCTGCCTCTTAATTGTCGCCGAGCGCAGCGTCTCGGCGGCCGCCCCGCCGTACCCACCGCCTGTGCCCGCGGCTCCTCGGCGTTAGCCCTTATTGCCTGGGTACTTACTGCTGGATTAAAGAATCCTACCTGGCAGGAAGGCAGTTTTAGTGCTCTCGCTTCGTAAACTTCCCGGGGAGGAGCCGTGGTGCAGGCTCCGAACGTGCTGATGAGCATCTGCCCGGGGAAATCTCAGCCGCCCTCAGAGTCCTGCCTTTTGCCAGGGGGGGGGCTGCTGACTCTGCCCCGGGGAAGCAGTGTGTGCCCTGGGCAGGGATGGAAACAGGATGAAGGGGGACAAGGACCTCGCAAGGGGGGGGACGGACGTGGGGCTGCCCCGGGAGAGCCGCTGCTGCCAACTGCCCCGTGCCTTGGATCCGTGCCCTCCCTGTGCCTCAGCAGAATGTTGGCTTGACTAGCAATGAGAGGCGTTAAATGGTGCCCTTCTTCCCCCCCCTATCCTTCTGCTCTCCCCCCTCCTCATCCTCGTTTTGCAGAGGCAGGAGCCCCGCAGCCTGGAAAACACCGCACCAGCTGCATCCTGCCATTCACGGGGCGCGCAGGATGCCCCGCATCCCTCCTGGGGCACACATCTGGGACGTGTTCCTCGCTGGGAGCTTTAGCCAGGAGCACACACACCTTCTCCCCAGGCACCACCGGGAACGCTCAGCTCCTGCCCCACATTGGGGGACCCCCCGAGCCCCTTCCCTGCGCCGGGAGCTGCCCCACCGAGGCAAACCAGGGGGGCTGCACCGGGGTCTTTTCCCAGCCCTGCCTTCCCCGGCTGACTTTGGCCTGTCAGCATGTGAGAGGAGTTTTATTGGCCTCTTTGATGTTGCGGAGCCCAGAACTGTACCGACTTTCATTAAAACCCTGCCCTGTGGGCCCTGGGATTATGAATATTAGAACATTGCCCTTTTATGTGAACACGTATTGACCAGCGAACTCTGAATAGTGTTTTTACTAACGACACCCAAGTGCCCATTACAGCCCCTGCCTGTATTGCTTGAGGTTTACTGTCAGCAGCTCTTCGGGAAAGGTATAAAACCCCTTTCAGAACCGTTCTGCCGCTCCACGCGGCGTGTGCGCCGATGTTAAAAGGTTGCTAAGCTGCCTGTGAAAGCTCATGAAGGCAATTATCCTTTTTTTTTTTTTTTTAAAAAAAAAAAAGCTAATTAGGCAATTTCTCTCTGTATTTGAAAGCACCCTAGAGGGTCTCATGGGGCGGATTAAGATTTTGTAATATTTTTCAGCTCCTTACTTGATCATCACTGCTTCGTTTTCTTTCCCTGGCGTTGTGCAATCCCGGGTAACAAAGACCTGATTCACACTCCTTGTGCAAGAGTTGCCCTTTCCCCGGTGCTCTGAGGAGCCCGTGCGCTGGGGACCCTTCCCCGTCCCCCCCAACGTGCCCCCCGGGATGTGCTGGGCTCTGTTATAGGGTGAAACCTGGCTTGGGATTTGGCTTCCCCGCAGGCTGCGGGTGCACAGCAGGGTGCGATGCTCAGGGTTTCTCCGTATCTGTGTGTTTGCCCCCAAAAAAGAGCCCTGCCTGGCTGCAGGCTGTGTCCCCGCCGGCGTTATTAGCCCGAGCAGCCCCGAAAATGCCCGAGCTGTGGATTCTTCGTGGCTCCCGGCGTCGGCAGGAACAGCTTGATGCTGCTGCAGCTCTCCCGGGTGCTTTGTGCGAGAGCGAGCTTTTAATAGCGCCTGTGACACAGAAAAAGGAACTATCAGCCCCTTGTAATTTGGGTTCGTTTTTACTGCTGGTGCGTCAGGAGACAACTGTGAACTAATTTCAGTGATGCCATTCGATAACCTTGTGAAATCTGTCACCG